ATTCTCAAACAACTCTCTTGCAAGTTCAACAAAGAATTTGATCAGCTGTCTATTAGACAGATTGATCAATTCTTTGTTAAGTCCATTGAGAGAGTGCTTGAAAATTTTCCTTATTTGAGTGGTGTGATTACCATAATTACAGTTGTCTTGGCTTATTAGCAGACTAAAAAATAAAAGGCTCTATTGTATGATATAGATAAATTCAGTAACAATCAGTAGTGCGATCATTATAATTACAATTGTCCTCCTTTTTTAGTTGTATTGTTCTTTACATTTACTATATTAAGTGGTTATTATAATCACTCGAAACTTGTCTATAATACCACTTAAAGATTAGTTTGGAAATTTATTAATTTAAATTATAATAATTAAAAACATAGATAAAAATAATAAATAGATAAGGAGTTCAGTTCTTAGAGATAAAAGTTTAATTAAAAAACCAAGTGTATCTCAAAGCCGTGCATTGATAATTCTGCTATTTTAATTGTCTTTACTTACTCTATTATATAAATATGGGCAAATAACTCCATCGTCTAACAGAATATATAATCGTGCTTGATGAACAAGCAAATAAAAGTAACAAATTCTGTATTTGTCAAGAATGCATATTTGGTTCTTCTTATGAAGAAGCATATGAATAAGTTTGCAAACACACAAGAACTTGTTTGCCGCCACTTAAAAAATTGCAAATATTTTAAGCAAAAATATAATGAATCCGAACAGGCAGAAATTTTAGCCAAATCAGATAAAGTGGATTCAGCAACTAATAATTGTAAGCGTAGTTAATTAAATACAGTATCGTTTACTCATTATATATATAAATGTCATCTTTATTTTTGACTTAGCTTTTCAAGAAAGTACTGATGATAATTCTGCTACTGGATCTGAGATTTTTTCAACTGCTAACTCTCTTCAGTCAGATAAGTTTCGAGGTAAAAAAATAACATAGATCGATATTTATTACGACCTTTAAGTGAAGATCAACAGAAGCATTTTGAACAACTCCTACTTAAAGCAACTGTTTCATGTGGTTGGGCTTTTTCTTGGATTGAAAACCCTGAAATAAAGATGCTCTTTGAGTTTATCTATCTATCAGTTAAATTGCCCT